CGGGTAGTTCCTTCTGTTTGGATCAAATACCCATAAATTTAAATTGCCTTTCTGCTTTACATTCATCTGATTTACTGTTTAAAGAAAAAATATATAAGTTCAACATTTGTGAAATAAGCTCCCGTCCTACTCTTATAGATTTTGCATATATTGTCATGTTAATAATGATAATCATGACGACGATACTGGTCATGAGATTAGTCTTTATGATAATGATACTAATGATGAAGGTAATGATAACAGTAATGATAATAATAATAGTATCAATAATAATCAAATTAAAAGTAATAACGATAATTTCAGTGTTAATTATAATGATAATAATAAACATAATGATAAATTCAGTAATAATAATAATGATAGTATCAATAATAATCTAATTAAAAGTAATAACGATAATTTCAGTGTTAATTATAGAGATAATAATAAACATAATGATAAATTCAGTAATAATGATAATGATAACAAGAAAAATAATGATAATATCAATGTTGCTAATAATGATAACAATGAATATAATGATAATAATAATCATAATATCAATGTTAATGATAATGATAACAATAAACTTAATTATGATAATAACAGCAATAGTGATGATAATAATAGTGATAATAAAGATAATAATAGTAATGATATGACAATGACAATAACAATGGCAGACATACATTACTAACACGAACTTCCAAACAAGCATAAAAAGAATAGCCAACCCAATTAATTAAAAAAAAACACAACTCACCCCCCAAGAAACAACAACAAAAACAACAAAAATCTATCCCAACATCCAGCACTTTTTTTTTCTACAAAGAACCCAATCCGTAAATGACGTCACGACCTTAGCCGAACGCCCCCCGGATTCCGGATTCATGGAAAAAACACACAACTCACCCCCACCCCCCAAAAAAACAAAAACAACAAAAACAAAAAAAAAATCCATCCCAACATCCACCATTTTTTTTATACAAGAACCCAATCCGCATCTGACGTCACATACCTTAGCCGAACGCCAACCCAATCCGCGTCTGACGTCACGACCTTAGCCGAACGCCAACCCAATCCGCGTCTGACGTCACGACCTTACCCGAACGCCCCCTGGATTCCGGATTCACACAGCCGAAGGAAGGGAGTGTTTTTTCTCCCAAGTGACAGAAAGAGAAGAACGAGAGAGAGAGCGATAAATGCAGGAATAAGGAGAGAAAGACAAATAAAAGAGAGAGATGGAGGAAGTGGATAAGATCCTGATTCTCACGTTAAATCAGCTGGGATGGTAAATATGGCTATTTTTTTTGTATTTAATTGTGGATAATTATGTTAATTATTATATTTTTCGTAATTAATTATGGATAATTATGTTAATTATTATTTTTTTTGTAATTAATTGTGAAAAATATGTCTGGAGGAGACGTAGGGTTGTTAATTATTATATATTTTGTAATTAATTGTGAAAAATAGATGTTGTGGGATCGTAGGATGTGGTTTTATTTGGATATAATTAGTCAAGATGTTTATGAAATGTATGGAAATGGATGTGATATTAAGGTAACAGATGTAGGTCTAGGGTTAATGTGAGCGAGGGCATCTGACAGGGCATGAGAGATTAGTCATAGGCTATGAAGGGTATGGTTGGTCTGGGCTCACATTTACTGCTATAATATAAATATAAATAATCTATAAATTACCTATAAATTAAATTATCCGAGAAATATAAATTATCCGCTATAAATTATCCGAGAAAATATCCGCTGCATGTTACCGTTTAGGGAGTACGACCTCAGTACCCTCAACAGCCAGAGTTTTTAATGTTTTTTTTTTTATATGTAGGAGTGGAGTGCTAATGAAAGGGGGGGGAAGGGAGGTAGAGGGCGCCTCGCTTCCGTGTCTAGGGAATAAATTCGAGGTTGGAAAGGTTAGGCTTGGAGTTTTGGTTTCGCATGATACCCTGGTATTGGGACTGTCTCTGGAGGGTACGTCACTCTCGGTAACAAGTACCTTGTTTAGAATACCTTACTTATCACAACGATTGGCGTCTTCATAGTTATTTAGGTACTTTAGTTAATAAGAGGCTTTTTTTTTTATTTAATGTTTTCTACTTTGTCATTGAGGAGAAGCAGCTCCAACAAAGTAGGCCTAAAAGCTTCTTATTAACTAAAGTACCTAAACAATTATGCCGAAGCTAAGGGCATTAAGAGTGGATTTTGATTTTATGTTTTCAATGCTTTTGATTTTTCCCACGCGTAGCTGACTCATCATGCTCTGATGTGTTGTCAAGGTTAAGAATCAAAGACTATAGACTAAAGAATATAATGATAACTATAGAATAACCTAACTCCAAAAAAGTCTTCTGTAATACAACCTGTGATTCATAGAATCATGGTGAAGGTTACAAGAAAAATGTATTTTTCCCCACATACAGATATACATTGATTTACATGTAAAAATCAAAGTCTAATAGTATCCAGTACCTCATCATGTAAGCCCCTGAAAAACAATATATGACAATAATCTTTATTTTTCTTTAGTGATATAGATGAAGAAGTCAAGAGTGTTGGAGGCTTTGGGATTCCTGAGGTTGTTACGGGAGTAGTCAAATGCATAAGAGCCATAAACAGTGACTATGAACTGCCATCGTCTCTCCCACAAAATATGGCTCAGCGCTTCAGAGCTGCAGCAGCAATTGCACAAGCAATTAAGGTGAGAGGAAATGGAGAAAGTATTTTATTTTTCATTAATTTGTTGTTTAATTCTTCTGATATTTGATCCTTTGGTCTAGTTGTTATTTGTATTTGTTATACTAATACCTATTTAAATGGCTATTCATATGAATGGCATGTACTTTTTTATATGAATGATACAATTAGTAGCTTTCATGATAATTATGTAATAGACTCCTACCACTGCTTCCCACTGATCATATATCTTTATATTATATGATGCACATGCTTAGATTTGACACTGATTTCTCTCACAGGATGTGGGTTACCCGGGAGATGTTGGTTATCAGTCTCTCTTGTACCCGAATGAAACTGATCTTCGGAAGATTTTCATGTTTCTTTTGGAGAAGCTGCCCAAAGATACTGCTACTGTTTCTGATGAACCTCTGAGTGAGTATATTTGAAAATACTTGTTTGTTTTTATGGCAGTGTGAATCAATTGTCATCCCTTTTGGCTCAAGGATTTGATTTGAACTGATACATGAAAAACTAAATACTCAATGCATTTTACCATGTTTACCATTCTCACCAGTATAAACATTTATTCATGATTTATTTCAGACAAGTTGACACTTATTAAGATGGAAGCCAAGAGAAGGCTTGCAGAGTCACTAAAGCAGCCTTGGATTCCTCCCCATTGCCGCCATGTTGCATGCAAATATGCCACCAAAGCCTCTGTCACAAAGTATGGAACTCACCATACTCGACAATTTGCATCAAAGGTGTATACTCCAATGCGTAATGCTTCAAAATTGTCTCCTGGTAAGTATTAAAGAAGATTTTGATGAAATCTTGATGAAATAGAATTCATGCATGTATAGATATATACATACATGAGTACATACATACATGGATATATATATATATGTGTGTGTGTGTGTGTGTGTGTGTGTGTGTGTGTGTGTGTGTGTGTGTGTGTGTGTGTGTGTGTGTGTGTGTGTGTGTGTGTGTGTATGTGTGTGAGAGAGAGAGAGAGAGAGAGAGAGAGAGAGAGAGAGAGAGAGAGAGAGAGAGAGAGAGAGAGAGAGAGAGAGAGAGAGCGAGCGAGCACATGTGTGTGTATACTTGGTTTATAGACTCATTCTAAGGAATACACCCCAACAGCACAAGAGGATTACCACAAGAATCATGCCAGAACAGTCAGTGATAAAATTGGCAGAGATTTTGTCATAACATCGCTCTTGCGGGCTCATGCTCTCCAACTGGAAAATGACCGGATACTTCCCAGAACTGACACTGAGACAGTAAGTTGCCATATTTTGTATGTAAGGTTATATTAGTGTATGTATAACAAGTTTTGGATTAAAGTTGCTGTTTGTTTTGTTTAAAAAGGTAAATGTGTTTTGTAAGTTATTTGTCTTTATACTTGTATATTGAACTATAAAGCTTTCATTTTTTTTTTTTTTTTCAAAGACCAATACTTATATAGATTTGAATATACTTTGAAGATGCATTTTTTGCCACTCTTCGTAGTACATTTCCTTTTCCAGGTGTCAGTTTGGGATTTTAAATTGAAATGGTTATGTGCTTATTTGAGAAATATCTTTATTGGATATAACTTTTTCTAGTTTTGTGATTTGTATTAATTTATAAAGTGTCATATATATATATGGTCTATTTTTTTCTTCTACTGTAGATGGTCTTTACTTTCAGGAAAACGTGGAAATACAATTAAAACCATTGTACGAGGACAAAGAAAATGTTCCAGAGCCTATGGATATTATAGGGATGCAGAGTACAACACTATCATCCTTTGAGACATCCAAACAAATGATTGATGTAAAAGTAGGTACATTTTAAAATTTTACATTGATGATAACACAGAGATATAAGTAGTGAAAATTGATAAGGATATACTTTGAAATATATATATATATATATATATATATATATATATATATATATATATATATATATATATATATACATATCATTATATCTATATATATATATATATATATATATATATATATATATATATATATATATATATATATATATATATATATATATATATATATATATATATATATTAGTCAGGAATGATAAGAAGATACTTAAAAGAAAAGACAAGAAAAATGTGTGTGTGTGTGTAATTTTTTTATAACAATTGTATCCTTATCAGTCATCTTAATTTTGTGAGGATTTGCTATCAATATTTCTTTCTCATCAGGTAAGTGAAGAAAACACCAATGACAACTCAGGGACCACAGCTGCTACCTCTGAGGAAAAGTTGCTCCAGAAGAGAGAGGAACAAGTGTCAAACTTGCAGTCTGAAATAGCCGGTATTAGAGACAAGATTGAGCTGTCTACTCAAGGCATGGAAAAGGCCAGTGCTCAGCTGAAAGAGGTATTGTGGTCTCTCTTGTTTTTTGTCAATTTCCGTATGTGTGTTTTTGTGGTTTGTTTTTATTTAGGGAAGGTGTTCTATTAAAATGTTTTGAAAGTGTGATGTGATATTGTGTTCTTTTAATTGTTTAATTTCAATATATTGTCTTAAAAAAAAACTATATATATATATATATATCTGTAAAGGCAAATATGTACAATTTCCGATACATACCATCTGAATTTCACAGCTTGTTGATAAAGTCGCTGAGGAGGAACGCATCAAGGAAGAGAAGGTTGGAGAGCACAAGATGAAAAAGAGAATATCGAATCTTGTGCCAGAGTCCGAATCCAATATTCAAAGGCTAAAGGTATGTTTTAAGTGATGATGTAGTAATGATTTTGCGTAACATGTTTATTTAGGGGGAGCAATGGCCCCAATATAAGGAATCTGTTTTTGTTTTTATGATTATTTCCAATTTGTTCTATGTAGATGTAAATAAATTATGCCTACTATTTTTATTCAAATATTCACAAAGGGATATTGATATTGAATATTGAATATTGATATGATATGAAACAGATTTTTACTTGTTCCTACTCAAAACAGTGGTTCTCTTTGCCTTATGTGCTGAATGCAGATCTCACAATCAATATCTAAAAATGACAGAGTACTGATACTGATTCTTATTGGAGTTTTTTCAATACTATAAAAAAAATCAGTTTAGTACTGGGTATCATTTATAGTAAAGAAAAGGACTAAACTATTTTCAGAGTTTACATTTATATTGCATGAATATATTTTGTGTTTCTCCATGTTGCATCAATATTAATTTTTACCCCAGCTTTGAAACTCTTTGACATATTGCTAGGTTCACTTGATTTTAAAATGATTTCTTTCTCTTCTAAACACATTTGAAGCCAGTAATATTACCCCCAAGATGTGGAACTCATACCCATTTTATCTGACCCATTCTCAGGGTGACTGCAAAATAAATGTTATCTTTTTATGCAACAGGAAGCCTTGAAGAATAGTGTGGACAAAATGGCACGTCTGAAGCAGCAGTGGGAGGCTCATAGGCAGCCATTGGAGGAACAGCTGTTGCAGCTTAATCTTGAAGTGAATAAGAAAAAGGTATGGATGTGATATAGTTTTGTATGTAGATAGAAGTACGGAGGTAGATAGATGGACTAATAGAGTGATAGAGAGATAGACAGAGAGATGAATTGAGAGACAGGGAGAGATAGATATGAATATTGATATGATATGAAACAGATTTTTACTTGTTCCTACTCAAAACAATGGTTCTCTTTGCCTTATGTGCTGAATGTAGATCTCACTATCAATATCTAAAAATGACAGAGTACTGATACTGATTCTTATTGGAGTTTTTTCATTACCATAAAAAAAAAATCAGTTTATTACTGGGTATCATTTATAGTAAAGAAAAGGACTAAACTATTTTCAGAGTTTACATTTATATTGCATGAATATATTTTGTGTTTCTCCATGTTGCATCAATATTAATTTTTACCCCAGCTTTGAAACTCTTTGACATATTGCTAGGTTCACTTGATTTTAAAATGATTTCTTTCTCTTCTAAACACATTTGAAGCCAGTAATATTACCCCCAAGATGTGGAACTCATACCCATTTTATCTGACCCATTCTCAGGGTGACTGCAAAATAAATGTTATCTTTTTATGCAACAGGAAGCCTTAAAGAATAGTGAGGACAAAATGGCACGTCTGAAGCAGCAGTGGGAGGCTCATAGGCAGCCATTGGAGGAACAGCTGTCGCAGCTTAATCTTGAAGTGAATAAGAAAAAGGTATGGATGTGATATAGTTTTGTATATAGATAGAAGTACAGAGGTAGATAGATGGACTAATAGAGTGATAGAGATATAGACAGAGAGATGAATTGAGAGAGAGGGAGAGATAGATATGAATATTGATATGGATATAGTTGGATGTTTTTATATAGTTTTTTTTTGTAAATAAAATGTATAGTTTCTTTTGTATATTAAAAGATGATGTAAGAAATTGAATGTAAATTATAAGAGTGTATCATAGGGGAGGCATTTATTCATTAATTTTCTTAATATGACAAAAAACACAGACAAAGAAAGTAGTGAAATTTACATAGATTCAGTTTTCAGGTTCGATGTCCCTATTTAGTGTTTTTTTTATGTTATGTCTGAAATACCTTAAATAGGGGTGCTTTAAATTGAGTGTTTATCATGCATCACTATATGATCTATTATTATTATAGTTTTCTTTTTAGCTTCAACCCCCATCATAATGCTATATATATCACACATTGTGAAGAAGATTTGGAATACAAGATTATTAATAATCAGTCCTTTGATGTATCTATAATGTTTAATACATTTTATTTATGCCATGATTATGTTTCATAAAAAATATATATAAAAAATTAGTGAATCACCCATAACTTTCAGGTAACCAAAGAAGAGCTTTTGGGTGAGATGACAGAATTGCGAGACAAGATGAAGGTAATGGTGCAAGATGCTTCAAGGAAAGAGTCTGCACTTGCACAGCTGAAGAATCAGTTTGCAAGCATGAATAAAGATATAAACAGGTTATTAAATTTTGTTTTTCTTTTTTTCTTTTGGCTAGTTGGATGTAAATTAGTAAATATTGATGTTCTGTGGAGTTGAGGGAAAGATCTATACAGTATATATTGTATATGAAATAGATTTTAAAAATTGCTTTTATTCCAGAGCAGGGATATAGTATTCATGATTTGTGAAAGAGCTTATGTATGTGTCAAAGGAGGAAGTAAATGCAGTGTGTTAATTAAATGTTTATTTCCCATATTCATTACATTTTGCTTTCTCTGTTCTAAGAGCTGTTTACACCAAGAGAATAATCGACATCAGTGCCAAAGTCCGCAAACAGAAGCAAGAAATTGATCGTGTGCTCGTGGACACAAGGGCGATACAGAAGGAGATCAACACCCTCTCTGGCAAGCTAGAGCGAACCTTTACAGTGGTCGAGGGGACAGCGTACAAGGTGAAAAGTGGCCGTCACTTCCATAATCTTTTGTATTAGTTCATTAGGGGTCAACGTGTGTTAATTTTTAATCTATATCTGTTAATGTATTTAGTATGATTTATTATTTTGTATTAGTATTTTGTATTAGTATTTTGTATTAGTAGGATTTTGTATTAGTATTATTAGGTTGTATTAAATTTCTTACAATAAGAGTATAAAAATACTGACCATGATTATGGAGTTTTTCCCAGTTAAGGGAAGGAGGAATGGTACAGTATGCCTGAGAAAAATGTGTTTTCCTTGTGTCACAGAGGAGTTCAGGTCTAGGTTGAGTTATAAAGAATATACTTTTTTTTTGACATTCTTTTTATATATATATATATATTTTTTTTTTCGGCTGTTTATGCTCAGTAACAGTTTTGGGAACGGTAATTCTTCTATCCAAGGATGTGACTCTATAAATTTCTTTTTTTTTTTCCCTTGACTTAGTGTACATAAAATAGTTATCCATGAACAGTACTATTTCGGTGATGACATTAGGAGTCTTCATACTAGATATGTGCAACACTGATCACAAGTGCTTTGGACCCACAGGAGGCAGGTAATAATGAGCGAGTCCGCCAAGTGTACCGTGCTGTGGCAGCGGTACACGAGGGATGTGGAGAACTGGTTGACATTGTACGTGAGACGGGAACTGTCCAAAGAGAAATCTCTGAACTGAAGGAACAGGTACGTCAGTGGAATGTATTTACCATTGGACATAGTTTATAGTGTTAGCATCAGCGTTTTCATTTTTTGTACATACTTCTATCTATGTGCTAGAGCCTCGTTGTGATATTGTGAACCTTTACTCATTTCTGTCCTTTGCAGGTTGACCTTGAAAAAAGCAAGAAGGTTGAAGAAAATTTGGAGCAACTCAAAGTTGATCTTAGTCAAGTCAAGAAAGAGAATGCCAGCCTCAAACAGCAACTGTTGTAAGGAACAAGATCCATCTGTTAGGCAATGGGGAAGCTGATAGTAGAAATATATACATTCCAATTTATATAACTGATTAGAAGTATTTGATGCAATCAAGAAACTTCATATGTTAATCACTGAATCCATTCTCATTAATTTCAAGAAAATGTATTTGAAATTTAATGTTGTTAGAGCACTTAATTTCCAGATTTACTTGTTGAAGAGAGATTTCTGTGATATGTACAGTATTTTGACATGATTTATAATAAAAGAATGTAAGTTATTAAATATTGTTGCCATTTATGATTGTATTACACTTTCTTTGCACTTACGAAAGTCACTGAAGATACAGCACAGTTGGAAAGTAATGGGGAAATACAAACTTAAAATAGATTGATTAAAAAAGTAAGATTAAATGGTCTTAAACTTGTAAAATTATACCAATATTTGTTTACAAATGAACATGGCAAAAAGGTGTATTACACTATTTTTGTTTATTCTTACACATTAGTTAATACCCACCACCAGCACAACAAATAAACAACCATTACATCACAACTCTAAGGCATTATAATTTGCAAGTTCTGATGAAATCTTGATCAAAGTTATAGTTTACAGTCTTGTAAATTAACAATTTTTAAAACTTAATCATGAATATTGAATTTACAGTACTACTGCAATATTTATACTGATTGTACTGTATGCTAATTATATAATACAGGTAATAGACAAATAATGTTAAATCATTCCAAACCTGATTAATAATTTCAAAATCTTGCATATTAATTACACATACAGATTGCACAATATAATTATTTGCCTAAGTGTTTTTTTTTTTTTTCCTTTTCATTCTATTGCATATACTGGGTACATGAAATGACTTCCATTTCATGTACATTTGATGGTTATACTGTATTTCATGTTGTCTTCAAAGATCAAGCTTCAAGTCGACTTCCCTTGCTAGTTCCTGCATTGAAGGTGA